TGACTATCGAATTTGCAGTACTCACTTTCGTGTTTTGATTTGTCATTCATAGTTTTGTATACATGTGGGAAGAACTTTTTCAGAAAAGATTCCATGGAGGTGACTCCTCCTGAGATTCCAAGGTCATATCCAAAGAGAAGACCGCCCATGGCCGCAACCACGCAGGTGTAGATGACAAATCCGGTAACCCGTCCTTCATAGTTTCCTCCTCCACTCTGACTCACAAATGCTCCTCCTGCCATCTCTTTGGAATTATTATTCAATCAAGAAGGGAAAAGGAGTTAGTATTTCGTGGTTTTTGCTGGCTCGAGAATGAGGATCTTTATGGTTAGGGATCTCTAAGAGGAATTTCCCTAGAAAGATCCTTCATACCCCAGCCCACTTCAAAAATGAAATGTAACTCCTAACTTCTCTGCTCAATCCTATGGAAAATTTTGCTTTATATAAGTTTTGCAAAGGCCTCTGGGGACTTCAAAATTGAAATTTTCTAACAAATTTGCTAAAGAGTAGGATTAAGCTCATTTTTATTCGGATTAATTTATGACCATCGGTACTAAAAATAGTGAAAAAGAACACGATTATTAAAGGATAAAAGTTTATAGGAGAGAACGTGCAAAAATTGTGGATTACAAAACATCTTAAAAATAGTGAAAACAACACGACTATTTAAGGATAAAAGTTTTCAAGGAAAGAAGGTGCAAAGTTTGTGGATTACAAAATTAATGGTAATGGTCATAAATTAAAACAAGTAAAAATGAGAATTACGAAATTTAAGAATTGCCAAAATTATGGATCATAAGTCCAAGAGAGCACGAGAGAAAGTGCAAAGTACAATTGAAAATTTAGCTTTAAAATTTTGGAAAACATCTGGAAATTTTGAGGGCCTAACAAAATATCTCGTTGGCTTGGCATATGCTCTATTCTACTCTATTTGGATTGAGAGGTATGTACCTTTTACCCCACTACTCTAAAATAATAATAGACGCTTTTTTATTTTATGTTTAGATTAAGAATTTATGAAAAAATAAAAATAAAGACTTTTTTATAATATGATGAATAATTAAGGTTAAGAGATAAAATAGAAAAAAATAGTTGTCCTTTTTAAAATATGAAAAAATATTTATTTCTCTTAAAATATGAAAAATTGACTATTATTCTGTGACAAATTTTAAATTAAAAAATAACTTTTTAATAAATATGTTATGTAATATATTGAATCAAAATGTGTATTAATAATTGTTCTTATGAGAATCCATCTCAAGAACTTATTGTCTTTGTTGAAATTTTGGTTTGAGATTTAGGAATTTAAAGCCCTCTTCGAGATCTAGTATCTTTGGACTTAGGAATGAGTGTTGGAGGAATTTGGAATAGTTGAAATGCTGCTCATTTCAATCAAAAGTGTGTGACTAGAAATTTCCCTAGAGGGTTTAGAAATTAAGGAGAAACAAGAGGAATTGAAATGATTTATGTTGGGATTTTTTTTTTTTTTTTTGTTTCTCTTTTCTTTTCTTTTCTCTCTCTCTCTTTCTTTTATTTTTTTTATTTACGGAATGGTAAAGAAAGAAAGAACATAATGGTGGGAAAAAACAAAGATGGCACTCTCAGTGTTAGGAAGGATATAAAAATATGTTGAAAGACAAATTTTCGAAGAGCCTAGCAGGTCTCTAATCCTAATGGGAGAGAATAGATCCTACAATCTATGCTATTAAACCAAAGAACGCGTTTGGACCAATCAATCATAATTAAATTTAGTTTTTAATTTCTTTTTATAAATTTAAATATCAATCTTATTTAAAAAATATGAGTCAAGAATATGTTTTTATCAATAAGTTAAAATTGAATATAATAAATAGTTTCAAGTAAACAACAAAAAGAGTATTGTATTTTAACATTTTTCCAAAATTACAAGGGTGGTTATTCCCTTGTCGAGAAGTTATTAACTTCAATTATTTATTAATAAAATTACCAACAATAATTTTTTTAACTAAAATGAAATTATTGTATTTCATTTGGCATCTACAAATAAAAGGACAACTCAATCAATGGATTAGGACTTAAGCACAACAAAAGAGGGTGAGAAGCAAAACCAAGAATATACCCAAACTGTAACACATGCTTAATTACTTAAAGGGTGGGTACTCTCATATGCACACTCTAGAACTTAGCCTAGATACCTTTTAGGTCTACTCCTACGAAGCTTGATGACCTTCATTATCATGTCGAGGCTTGATATTGGAAATCTAAGTAGAGGAGAAACTAAATTTCTTCCTTTTTTTTTCCACAAATAGAAAATCAAAGGCTATGTACTTGGAAAGTGGACAACAAAAATGGAAAGCAAGAAAGAAAAAGAAAAAACAAAGAGTAATTTGTGGGAAAAAAAGAACAAGAAACGAGAAAGAAAGGACAGCCTGAAGAAAGAGAAAAGTAGGGAGAAACGAAATGACGACAGGGGAAAAAAATGAACAAACTGGTTGGAGAGATAGAGAAAACCAAATGATGTTGGACGATGGCCATAAGGGCAAGGAGAGCTATATATAGAAAGAACCCAAACTGCGAGTAGAGGTTTAGTATCTAAAATTCTAAATAAAGTCAAATTAAATAAAATTCCTTAATGCACTGTCTTAACCCCTTTTCTTCACTGCCCAGTGCAACCACTTATGTTATCATAGATATTTTTATTATCTAGAAACATGACCATATATAAAAAAAAAATTACCATAGTGGATTTTACAAATTATGCAAATCAGCCACCACAAAAAAACTCACATTTAGGAACTAAATTATCGTCATTAAATACTTATTTTTCATCACAAACTAGAGTTAGTGATGAAATTTAGATCGTTGGTAAAATACTTATCATTATTGTTTTTAATGTCAAATTTAGCACTTTTCACAAAAAAGAATTTTATAGTTATGGAAAAAATCGATATTACTAACGAGTTATTTATAACAATTTTATTTATCACAAAAAGAGAATTTCAAACTTATGCAAGAAAAGATAGGGAAGCCCCACCATTACAAGAAAAAACCTGTTATTTGTTGTTAAATAGAAAAACAAAGAAAAATATTAATATTTATTATAATAATAGAAATTGAGTTCCTATTTAGACTATGAGGAGTTATTAATCAATGTCTACATAGCCTTAAAAATAAACAAGTAATAATCTTTAAATATATTATTATATTGGTAGAGATATTTGGAATTATGCACCTTAGGCAAGGTTGCTTGAGTCCTTTGCTCATTCCAACTTGCATTGCATTGATTCTCACTGTTGTACTCTCTTTTAAATGACGTCTCAACATGGATAAAATGAAATAATTATGCTATTTAGTAACAAATAAAATAAGCACAAAAAAATTAAATTTTAATAGTTCTAATTCTCAAGGAATGGTCTTTGAATCTAAAATGTGGAGATTTGAAACTTAAAAGCGATTTTTCTTCCTCTTTTACTCCCTTCTTGTAATTCTGGAAATTTAATAAAAAAAAAAAACAGAGCAAAGAATGTGTAGAATTCAAAATAGCATATATACCAAGAATAGATATTAGATGTTTTAGTGAAAATCTAAAGTGATTAAACTTTGGAGTAGAGTAAAGGGTGAAAGAGTAATGGATACTTTTGAGGATAGAAGAGTGTAGAAAATTAATGTAGGGTTAAGATGTTTAATATGTATATTTAAATGTTTAAAATTCAAACGGAAAATACTAAGTACAAAAATAAATTAAGGTGAAAAACGATAGATATAAATAATTATCGGTTGGTTTGGATTTTAAAGGAATTGAAAACTGGATGTTTTGAATCTTTGAAATTCCTTA